TTCAAGAGACAGCAAAAAAGAGGAAAAAAATTGAACGGAAGGAAGCATCAACGAACACTGCACGTAATGCGAATGCAACGAACGCGCTGAACGATTTTCTATTTAAAGTCATTTTGTATTACCGCCACTTTGGATTCTCTTTTGCCTGCTGCACGTCGTACCCGTAGCACTCTCTTCTTTTTTCCCCAACTGTTTGTCCTGGTTTCTTGTTGGCCACAGTCGGATAAGGTTAAGCTGAACTCGTAGCTGTGACATGAGACCGAACGGGGTGGTTGCCTTCTCTGCTATTTGCTAATCGTAAGATTGTTTGTAGGGCTTGCTATTCCGCTCATGTTTCAATCGAGCGACACGTTACCGGAACTTGACATACGCAAACAAACAGTTCGGAATTGATTTGTTTTGCAAAACACAAGAATGTGTGCTCTTGTTGGCCATTTGTCTTCCTTTTTTTCACATGTGACTCAATCTCAATGTCAGATCCAAGTGTTAGAAAAGGTGTGGTTTTCACATCAACCGCTTCGTTGAAAAAACTGTTTTATGATTCCAGAATAAACGTACTTTTAAAACTGTAGATATTAAATTATCATCTTCGTTGATTAGCATCCGTCCATTAATAATAATATAAAAACTGTGTAGCGTAACAGGCAATTTTCAACTACTGTAAACTATTCTCTAAGTAAATTCATTTGTAACTGCCTTTGGGATGGCGCTAACTACACTCAGATTGCACGTCCAGGTATTTGAGTTACAAAACACAAAATGCTTATGCAATTTATTTTGTACACATCACGTTGTCACACCAATGTACACTTGTTGGTATAACACTCCACTGTTTATTTAACAGGAAGTTAAAGCAGTTATATTTGCAATCGATGGCTTCCAGAACGATGAATTAAAATTTCATTGAATTTACATGGTGAGCGGAATGTGAAAGCACAAAGTAAGGGGTTCATCGTATATTTTCCGGTGCTAGGGAAATATTGAAAAGTTTTCGCATTGAAGAGTTATTGAAACATTTATACTTTGCGTTTCTGTGTATGTGTGTGTGTGCTACAGGTCCCAGAGGGGGAAAACACGCATAAAACGAACTAATGGAAATGCGCAGAGCTGTGAGCGGTAAGCTGTAAGCTGGCCAATTAAATTTCGAGCTTGCAACTTTAAAGCTGCAGCTGAGGCACGTTCTCGCTCGAAGATTTTGTGCACAAAACCTTAAGTGGGCGCTAGTGCGTTTATCAATAAAGTGTAGCGGGTGTAGCTTGTGTGAGTTTGTTCGCCCAATTAAGTGCCAAATACACAAGTGCTTTCATAATTTGCCAACCGAAAGCGCTCATTGACTTGGCCACAGTTGGGTTTCAGGTTTCGGGAGCATATTTTACTGCCACTCATCACATACCACTATTCAGTTGCCATTCGTCAGTGTAACATCGTGCTGCGCATTGTGTTTCTGCAAACAATGCAAACTGTGCGAGCAGTTGCCACACTTAACACCCTGATGGAGTGGGGCCGGCGCACGGTTCTTGGGTATTGTTGCTCGAATGCCGTGTGCCGTTGCATACAAAGAGGCGCTTTAATTACATGAGGCAACGTCGTTGTCGCCTCCGTGTTGTTGCCAAGAAACTGGCCAGTGCTACACTGAGAAAAAGTCGAGACTAATGGGCTACCAATTCAATATTCATAAATAGAAGTGCTCGGGATTGGTAGAGGGTGAAGAAAGGGGGGGTGTCATTATTAGTAAATACTCACATTTCGCAAAAGATGCACATTTAAATTTATTTGTAATATTGAAAATATTTGGTCATGCGTATATATTTCTTGAAACGATTTTTGCTCTGTGTAGATGCTGAGGGAGCTGGTTAGTGCTCGAGTTGCCGGTTGTTATTGTTGGCCTGGCCATAACGGCTCAGCAATTAAAGTAAGTGGTACAATTTTCGTTTTGCTTCGGCCACTTGCCGTTTCAGTTGTCCCTTTTAATGCTTTGGAAGGGGAGAGGGAGATAGGGGGGAAGACTGTGTCACTCTTTTTGTGGCCCATAAATCCAGGCATTGCATTTAGTTTGCAGACAGCTGCGACTGACAGCGAGGGACGACTGCCGTTTTCGAGATTTAGCTCTGTTTACTTGTATTTTTTCATAATTTTATCGCTTACTTTTCAAGTGTCGCTGCGTTTCTGAAAGGGTCAGTGGCAAGTGCTCTTCTCGCTGCACTCATGATTAATGAGTTAGTCTTTGGGCTGCTGCCTTTTACGCTGACTGCGTGCCATCTGCCCTGAATATTTATGGCAAGTGAGCAATTAATTAAATTAGGTAATCGAATGTTCGTTCGTTCCGCTATTCGTTGCCCACACAACAGATAAATTTAGCATCAGTTTCCGTATTCGAACATGTGCGAGTCTGCCACTCGATGCCGGTATTCCTTTGTGAGGCAAATTGGTGTTTGCTTCAATTTGCAAAACATGTAGAGAAAAATATATTTATGTAAGTAAATCAATATCCATATGCTTGTTATAGCTTGCGCTGTTGCCATTGCCGTCGCTTTGATCAAATGTGCCTGTCAGTTTTCTAGGAATCCACAGCTACTAATCCAATTAGCATAGATTCGTTCGAAAATTAGAGCCTCTGTGCTCAGTAATAACACCACTTAGAGTATGTTCACTAGGTAGGACCTTAATTTGGTAACAATTTTCGGCAAATATACATATAAATAAATATGTATCTTCGGCGCATATATGAAGTCTTGCTAAAAAATATATGGTTACTTGCGCATATAAGGCGTATGAGTAATGAGGTAGAGCAGTACATATATTTTAATTTCGAAAGAACATTCTGTGCGTCATTTTTACTGTCGACGATGTGGTTGGTCAGCTGCCATAAACACACAGCAATGTACCCGCACAGCTTGCTGTCAATGAAAATTATTTTGTGGCAACAACAACAACAACATCAAATCCCTAACTACACATATAAATTGAAGTGATTTTTTCTTCTCCCTTGTGGTTTGTCTGCATCTCTTTCACACTCTCGATTCCTTTTGCCATTTTGATCTTTTAAAATTGCTTTGAACTTTGGCGTACGTAAGCAGGAAAAGTGGACAGTGTGAGTATGTAGGTACGCATAAAAAATGTATCTATCTATGCAGTCTGGCGAAACAGAACAAAAATTCCAAACTCACACGCAGCTTGACGTTTTTAAACAAAAAGTTCAAGTGTTGCTGCTATCCATTGGGAGATGAACGGCTACCAATGCGAAGCTGGAAAAACTTTCAAATAAAGCGAAACTGTCAAAGCTTTGCGGGGTACTGTGCTGGCCATAAATTCAATTTTCTAAATGGACAGACAGCTTGCTAGTCAGCCAGTCAACTAGTCAGCTAGTCAACTAGTCCACTAGCCGAATAGTCTCGCAGTCAACCTGCTGCCAGTCAACCAGTCTGATGAACGATCCTGCTTCCTTTTAGTCATATAGTCAGAGCACAATTGCCAAATGCAGCACAAAATGGACAAAATGGCTGACTACGTAAACGTTGTTACCATCAGTTAGCTGCCAACACGAGAAACATGCACATATTGTGCCATGACATGCAACTACACACCATCCTTGTAATAAGTTTTCTAGCTTAGCTTACTTTAACTATGTTTTGTTATTTTTCTCTTTTTGTCTTTGCCACTTTCTGTACATTATGTAAACGTCAAATTGAAAAAACTTGGTCATTGCAGTTTCGCAAGGGCAGTAACTTGAACCGCGACAACATGAACCAGCAAGCCAGATTCACATTTTGTCGTTCTCCAGGCAAGCTTGTCACATGTGGCGTATGCGTTATGAGCATGTGGGGGAGATTTATTGATTTTGGTTCCAGCCAAAATCTATCTATAGAACTGCCACTTAAGTAAATGTACACATAAATGAAATGAATTATTAATACCCAAATAAATAAGCATCGAAACATTAATGATGATTATGAATTTCTAAGAATAATGCGCTGAACATGATCGAAAATATAGTTACTTAAATGCAAAATATACACTTTGGTTTTGAATCACAATTCACATTTAAATTATGAAATGAAGAACAAAAATTCTTTAAATATCTGATATGAAGCCGCTTTAAAATGTAAGTAGAAGAATGCCGTCACCCTGGTTGCTTGATATTTTTTAAAGCCATATGGTCACTTCATTTTAATAAATTTATTCACTCGAATGACTAATGAAATGGCTTAAGGAAATCTGCTTCAATATCTTGCAGTCTAAATGAAATAACAGCTGCCAAGCGAAATGGCTGCTCTTGGACTGTTATTGTATTTAAGAACAAACTGGGGCTTTATGTGCACTACAAGTATAGTACATAAATGTCGGTGGTTAAGTCGGGGAGTAAACTATTGTAATTGAGGGCCGGATGGTGCTGTGGGTACTTATTATGCATTTTTCTTTTATCACCTACAAAGTGGATTGTTGGAGTTGCACTAAACTTGAGTCGATGCGCTGCCTCAAAGAGGGGAGCAGTGCTTCAAATTATTATTGAATTTAACTCTTTTGCAGGACCATCGAAACACATTTTAGGAGTCCAATTGCAGCTTTAATGTGAAAGTCAAACTGAATTACTATTTACTAAAAAGTATAAATGAAAACTACAAGCCATAGGCGCTGTGTATATAATTATAAAATAAATATATAACATGTAAGCTCGATGTGTTTAACTGTGGACCAAAAGCAAATTATGACTTTAAAAATCGTCTAAGTGCAACATTAATGTGAGACTATTTGTTATAAACGCTGTGTATAGCCAAAAAACACAATTGTTAATTAAAATTTAAGTGTACATATTGACCACAATGGAAACAGAATGTTTGGTAAAAGCTTTAATTAACGACTAAGTAAAGAGAATATTTAATGTAAATACATACACACATATATAGTGCCCACAAATAACTTTTCGCAGCTGTCAATTGTATAAATATACAACAACAGTCGTGTATTAGTCGCGAAAAACAAAATACTTAAAAATAACTACAAATCCTTCCTGATGCAAAATACTTAAATGCAGAGCCAACTGAACGTGCAACTGTAGACTGTGCTTATATATTATAAATGTTTAATATTTAACAACTGACTTTTGAGAGTCTAATTTATATACATACATAACGACCTAACATAAAAACCGCGATCAAAGCAAAATACATATTTACAAAAACGATAACTAATTGATAGCATTTAAAAGTAAAACTCCGTCAGGTAAACAAATCGCGATTGTGTTAACTAAACAAAACTATTTCTTTGGTTGCTATTCATTTTTTGGGAGCCCCCTCAGACTAAGTCGTAAATGTTGTGGTAACTGTTGTGCTGTAACTTCTTACATCTGTGTATTCGTAATTCTGCGTGCGTTGGCACCTCTTTCCCCCCTCTGTCTCTCTTTGCCCTGCCGCGCCTTCCAAACTCCTCAAGGTGATGCCATTTTGCATCATGAGCAGCAGCAGCTTAGCAGCTAAGCGTTTAAGCGGCATCGCTAGTGGCAGTGGCAGTGGCAAGAACGATAGCCTTAAGAGCCACAGTAGAGTCTGTAAGATAGCTGATTGGTTTCCACAAGTAAGTTTTATTTACTTTCTTATCATTTTAAATTGTTTTCGTTCGTGCTCACATTTCATTCTGCTGTTCACCTCGAACTCATTTTTCATTTTTGTTTGCACACAATTTTCACGCATTAAAGCGCAAAGTCCCTATCAATGTGGAATCAAATTATAATGTCAATCCTTTGGGCACACACACACACACATATATATATATCTATATACATATATATACCAGCAAATCAGACGTGTGCACAGCAAATTGAAGAGTAACAGTAGCCAAGCCATTGTTGTCCCTCTTTGTTGTTGTTATTATTACTTTTTCTATACGTGGCTTCGCTTTTCACAGGCACTCAACTGTTGCGCATTGTGCCTTTTTTTCATTTTATTTTTACTTTTTTTGTCCAGCACCATGGGTTATTTATTTGTATGATGATGGGTATAAAATGACCCCAAATTGTGCACCTCAAACAAAATTTGGCTTTTTTACAACATATTCGCGTATACTTTATACACAGTACGGCTTCTCCTTTTGTTTGCTTATCAGCAGTCTATTTTCTTTTCTGAATGTATAGTAGTATTTGTATAGACCTTAGTAATTGTGTTTTGTTCATTGATGAAAGCTATATCTTGACAATTTGTTTCATGAATGTGTACAAATTGTTGACAACACTTTTGAAGTTATAACTGCGTTTATTCATTGTTATTTTGTAATCGCTTTTAATGCCATGACAACGACTAAATATTCGTAGCCATTAAATGTATAAGTTTATTAATAATCAGATCATTAAAAACTTTTCACGGGCATCTAATATAAAGAAGCTTAAAGCTTAAAAACAATATATATTTCCAAGTTATATTGCATAATTCTTAATGGCTCCTCTAAGATATTCGTAAAAAGTTTTTGGCAATAATACTGCTTTATTGAATCAGAAAAAAAAGTACTTACTTTAACCATAAAAAGCCTTTAAGCATTATAATTATGTTGCCAGTTTTAGATAATTAGATAATGCTACTTCAAACACATTTGATTCAGTTACGTGTTAAAAGCAAGTGTAGGCAAGCACAATCATATACATTTATACCTTTCGATTTTAATAGAATGTCTCGCAATCTTAATGGCCAGATTCATATTCAGAAAATAATATTTAAATATACGCCGAAATACAATAAATTACAATGGTTTATTAGTAAAATAAGTAATTTAAGCAATTTTTTTTATTTTCATTGACAAATACCTTTATAAGCAAAGAATGTGCTATTTGTAATCGTTTTTACTTCGCTCTACTTTGTTATGAAAAATGTTGAAACTGATATTTTTCAGATCCTGACATAACTTATTTCCGCAACTCTAAATAGTCACCTTGCAGCCAGCAAATAGTATAAAGAAGAGTCTTGGCCAGCAATTTAAATGTCAACTGTCGATTGATAGTAAACACATTGAGTATAGAAGCACACTTTTGCCGCCAAGCCAATTCCAGAGCAAAGGCCGTGATCTGTAAATAAAAAACACCTACATATAGTTGATGGCATCTGGTACTAAGACTTACTTACCAGTCTTTTGAAGGCACTCGACTCGCGCGGGGGTGTGCGTAATATAAAAGCCGTTTTTCTTATCATTATTTCCAAATTTTCTGCCAAATTACTGGTATAATATAAATTGAGCGCGTCGATTAGGTAACTGACTATGACAAATGACCGCATTTTGATTGGAATTGAAGAATGCTGGGGTGCTGCAATAATCACAAATATTTCATATCCATAGGTTATTAAATACCAGCCCTTGCTGGCCAGTAGACACAGCAAGATGTACTGAAAGGATTCACCCATCAAGCTATGCAATGCCAGTATCTTAAAGAATTGACGTTTCAGCAATAGAAATTTGGCAGATTTTTCTGATTTCCAAGACTCTCGAATGCTGCGCGGGCACAAGAGTTGCGATAGCTGGTCATTGAGCAGGCTGCAGCTACGACAAATCTGCCATAAAATGCAGTAGTATTCGAACATAATAGCTACAGAAACATTGACTAGCAGCATGGTGGACGTAATGTCTAACATATAATTCTTGGGCCGAAAACGTTTCAGATACAAGGGGTAGAAAAGCCAAGTCCGTATCAGAGTAAGCAGAAAAAGACCAAGCTTGATGTAATACAGGTTGTTCAATTTCATTAATTTCCGCTTCCTTTTGCCAGTCATAGATTGTTCCCAGGCACTCAAATATCTATTTTCCAAGTGCAGCAGCTCTCTTAATATCCTGAGCACATGGCGTTTTCGTTGCCAACAATTGAAAATGCACAGCAGCAACACAATACTTAGCATGGTAATATGAACAAATAATTTCTCATCACTATGGTAGCTACAAATCAAATAGAGAGCTCCGACACAGGCAAGGCAATGATGCATTACGCAATACCACTTCCAAAAATTCAAACGAATGAGCTTTTTGTCTGCTGACCCGTAGTTGAAGGCGTTGAGTCCATTGAGCGCTAGGTAGTAGCCAATCAATGCGTATAGACTGCCTCTTGAAAGTCCCATGATGTTAGCGTGCGCAAAGGCCTAAAATCGAAATAAAACTGGCATTGTGCTTCGCAGCCAATCGAAGTTTATATAATTAGCAGAAACCAGGCACTTCATATCCTTTGCACACGCAATGCATGCCTACATTGAGTTTGATTAGTTTTCATTGTGCTTTGGAACACATGGAAGAGCTTGTTGTTAACTGGCGAATTATTTGTATCTTTTTTTATTTTTCTGAGATAATAAGCATCGTCTTGATGAGAAACATTATAATTTGTATTTTTTGGGCTCATTACTTGCATTTTCGAAGATAATGATTATCAATGTACAATGTACAGTGACCTTTTTAGGTTTTCAAAAAATTTTCCGTATTTTGAAAGTCTTTTAAATACTCTACACCTTAGATAAAATTTAGGAGCTCATAATTACTTGAAAGTCTTTGCTGCCGGATTATGATCAAGAGCCACTCTCTTTCTTTTAGGTATTAAGGATAGATGATTACGAATATATTGAGTGAGCTTTTTATTGTTTCACTTTTGATGTCAGCATTTGTTAAACTTTCTCCAGTGAAGCGAACTTTCTCGTTCGCTAAAGCATAACAATTGTATTGAAGCAAATTTAATACCCTTTTGGGAATAAATATTTAGATAAAATCAGCAAATTATGTGTGATTGGCATTCGCCATTAATTCGCACTATTTTTTACGTGATAAATTATTTGTACAAGAGCACTTTGGGGAATATAAAAAAAAATTAAATGCAGATGCATATAAGCAGTTGAAAAGTACAAACAAAAAATTGGCCCCACAAACATTTGCATAATAATTATGGTGTGACAATATAAACAAAAAATATTCAAATCCTGCGGGTAACATGGCAATGGAAATAAAATTGAAGACACTTTGAACCGGTTGCGTCAATGCCCAAGGCCACAAGCATATTAAAATTTCAAACACAAACATATCAAGGCATCGGGAACAAAACAAACAGAAAGTAAAACCATAGTAATGACAACCGTATTGGCAAAAACATAAAATAATTCTATGCAAGGCCATTCAATTTGATTTTAATCAAATAAACTCACACGCATATGGGGCCATATTTAAACGCTATCAATGCTATTGGTAACTGAGGATTCTTTCGAAAAAAAGTTTTCCATATAGCGCCTACTGCTGTTTATTTGCTCGTCTCCAGCATGTCAAATAAATCAAACTATGGCCTTTTGCCGGTCATTCAATACATTTATACCAATAATAATATCGTGGCATGAAGCCGGCCAATCAAAGAGCCCCCAGGGGCATGGCAATCAATACTGATTTTTAATGAAGAAATAAAGTGGCCATTTTTGTGTTGTGCTGTGTCGTAAAAATTGTCTACATTTTTATTACACGCTGTTTGTGGCACTTGCGATGGGCTTGGAGAGGGAGTGCGCCTTTGTTGCCACACGGCTGATGGCGTGCCTGATGCCACAAGACAATGGAAAGATTCTACAATACACCCACTACAGAGAAACAGAGACCCCTACACATCCATGGGCTGCTCTAATGGGCATGTCAGCACGCACCAACGCCTAAACGCGTGCTGAGCTGGAAATTTTTTCGCTCTTGTGGTTTACCATTTTATTGGCCGGCTGCGTGCCGAGGGGTCGACAAGTGTTTATTTCGGCATTTTGCTTTATTTTCTTGTTGTTGTTGTTGTTGTTGTTTTTGGCATCTCTGTTCCGAACTGTTGTTCTCTACCCCACCACCTTTTTCCCTTTACTTTTTGGCGGGGCACACCTAGCGCTGAGTGGACCGATAAGCGTTTTTCCAGGCAGGCAGTATATACTCAACCGGAGCTTTCAATGGCCACGTTTGTCTACATTTAGTTTTTGTGGGCCAAATGATTATTGGGCTGCTCTTTGCTCGGCTCGGTGTAGTCGGAGCTTCACCGTTGCCAGGGCTGTTAATACGCATGGCGAGTCCTGGTGGCATTGTTTGCTTATTTGTCGAAATGGTTTCACGCTTTTTCAGTAGGAGGAGGCGAGCGGCGTCGATGCTAGCAGAGTGCTTGATAAGTTCCATTTAAAGTGAGGCAGTTAGGGCTGTATAACTAAATTAACAAATACATAGGTGATGCTGGCGTGGATGCCTAAATAAAAACTTATTTATATGACAAATTTGTAATTTAATTGTTTAATGAAATTATAAACTGGACAACTCTTTCAGGTCTTCAATATTTTTTTTTTTTTTTAATTGCTTTCTTAATCTATGGCATTTGTTTGCATTAAATAAGTATTTTATTGAAGGGCACGGTGTAGGAAGCATTTTGGGTCTTTTAGAGATGGGTTCCTTTTCGAGTTTCTCCCCTTTCTCAGTTTTCGACTGTAAGCAATTTCTTATGCACTCAGCTTTCGTATACCCTACGACGCATTGAAATGCCCTAACACATTTACCTTTTCTCTCCACCCAAAGTTTTCGCAATGGATGGCACATGCGGTAGTACGGAATGAGTATTACCGGGATATGACAATAATCGACTAAAAAAAAACCAATTGTAAAATCGAAATTATATGCATAGTATGTACATAATCCTGTTTACCTCCTCTTTGTAGTCTTTGACTATATGTGCATCCACTTGTTAAAATTAGAAGTATTAACATTCCCCAGTGCGCCCTCATTGTATCAGGGAATTAACTAAACGGGCTTTCGTATTTAAATTATTTAGGTATTCGCGTCATGCTTAAACCGTGTTTGGTTCGCTATTTTAATGCGTGTTTTCAAGGTTAGATACAAAAGATTTTGAGGCGAATGATACCCGATGGCGCTAATATCAACGCATTTAATACAGCGTTGGAAATTTGTTTGTGTACATTGCTCGGTACATATATGAATAGTAGGACAGATAATATCAAATATAGCTTTAGCATATTTGGATGTTATACCATCAACAACATACAAATATATTGATATTTGACATCTTTCTTCGTTCTTGAACTATGAATACACATTTCGATTTCTAACGGAAGCGTTTATTGATTTGTTGAAATGACTTAACACTTTTTCCCTAAGAAGGGGCAGAGAAGCAGAGTGCTGGAAAAGTTGCTATTGAAATAAGGCAGTTAACTTATTTAAATAAATGTTAAGTCTTGATCCTTGGATTGATGCGTAAATAAAAAGTATTATGGTAATTATAAACTGGACTGTTTCTGTTCTTTAGTACTTTTGTGGTTTGCTTTCCTCCATCTATAGTATTTGCTTGCATTAAATAAATAACATCTATCTAATGGAGCTTTACTGATTTTGTATGATGGGTTTTTTACTGGTTCGTGGTTTCTCAGTCGGCTTTAAACAATTTTGTTCGCATTCTTCTCTTGAATACCCTTCGACGCATAGAAATATTAGAACACAATAACCTCTTCTCTCTATCCAAGAGGGTATCAATGGATTGCACATGAGGTTGCTGTACGGAGTAAATATTACCGGCTGTGCTTTTACATGACACTTGTCGACTAAAAGACAAACATTTCAGCAACCGAAATATGATAATTATATGGAATTCTACTTACCTGATTTACGTTCATGTTGACTATATATAGATCGAATGGTGAAAACAAGAAGTATTAACATTCCCCATTGGACTTTCATTGCAACAGGGAATTAACTAAATTGACTTTCGTTGTTCAGCTAATTAAGTATTCGTGCTATGGATTAATTGTGTTTGATTCGCTATTTTAATGCATATTTTTAAGAGTTAGATACGGAAACCTACAGGCAAATAATGACATACATTTCTTTAATAAATATAAATATAAGTATTAAGAAACCTTATTTTTATATTTTTATACAAGTATATGTCTGATTATGCTTTTATGTGTTTGATTTCTCCAAGCACTGTTTCTTACATTCGGCTTCCGTAAGGCCCGTAATGCATTGGAAAGCCATTATACATTTATTTTTTCGCAATACCCAAACTTTCCTTAACGGTTGGCATATGGTGCGCCTTGGGACGAGAACTACCGGAATAGTGCATAAGTTCACTTGGAAAACAAGATTCTTTTAGACTTTAAAAATAAAATCAATCATCTTTACAAGTTTACCATTATATGGTGGTTTTTGACTCGTGGCTATGACCAACAGCTGAAGGCAAAATGCCAGAATAAAAAGTTTTACAGTATCGTGCTCCCTCATTGTGTCTCAAGGCGAACTAATATTTTTTAAAAGTTAAATGCTTGCTACTTGTATAATTATATAAATATTAGTTTTGCCAATTTCACGTTATAAGCGCAATGTATTTCATTTTAGAGTTTGGCTTATGTATTCCCTAATGTACCTAAATCAGCAATTGTATTTAGTTTGTGTGTCAGAGCCGGTTGAAAAGGAAACTTGTACGTATACTAGAGTTGGGAGCTTCTACCCCAGTTCTTGTATTTTTAATGATAATAAAGTCTGTCCTTTTAACTTTGACAACTTTCAATAAAATTGAGATTTTCTGCACTTGCTCTTCTTACAAGAGCAGCGAAAACATTTTTCTAGACTGTTTTATAAAGAAATTTAACGCCAATTGTGAAAATAACTGTTCCCCTTAGGAGCTAGAGCGCCACATTCTTCTTCTTCTTCATCACATCCATTTCGAGCTTCATGTACGGCCATTGGATGTGTGTGTTTCTTGGTACGAATAAAAGAGAAATACTGAATTCTAGAATTACCACACACTCTCATCAATAAGTGCCAGCTGACCAATGATGTGTGTCTGTGATTGCGCCACTCGTTCAGTAAACGTAACTAAATTGCTTGCTATGCACTCGTCTATAATTATAAGTATTACTTTTACACTTGATGGTGCAGCAAATTGTTTTGGAATGTGCACACATATACAATACGCAAGTATGTGTGACAATTTGCTTTCCCCCACAAACAGATGCTTTAAAATGTAGATGTTTTGCAAAGACAGCTTTGTATTTACTGATTGAGTGGCGGGTATTGTGCAGTGTTTTTGGTTTGCTATTTTAAATTGGGTTCTGTCAATAATAAACTTTAGTCAAGCTTGATGAAGCCAATACTTACGTAAGGACAGCATCTGAGTGTAATTAACACAGTCCATTGTGCACAGTATTCGCATTGAAATGACTAAATGCACAGCTTGTCTGTGTTCACACACACATACAAAAACACAGTCTTTGTCTCAGACACTCGTAATTAAGTTAAAGCAATCAGCGAGAGTGATGCTAGTATAACGTCTTTGAGGGCGTAGCACGGCTTATTGTTGCCAGAAAATTTATGCAAATTTCGATTAATTTACTTTTGACGCAGGCACAAATGCCGCAGCTTTGGTGGGTCGCCCGCTCATTAAGTGCAGCTCAAAAATAAAATGAAAACAAAACAATATAAAAAATTGTTCATTAAGAGCAGCCACAGCAAGTGGTGTCCCATCCTAATTGAACGGAAACCGTGACGCACTCAACGCTGATGACAAGGGAATCATTTGATTTCGTTTCACAGCTGATTACAGCTGATCAGGCAGGCGCGCAAACAATCAATTTCCATTTCGCTTACATTTTTCTTCTCTCGTTAATTTTTTGTTCCTTTACATTTATTCGCATTCCATTTTGTCTATGTCTAATGCTTTGTTTTAGCCAAAATATTTCTACCGTCTGGCTGAGGTTGCCCTTACACGTTATTTATTAAAATATTTATACGCGTTGCATTCTTCTATGCTTGGATTTTGGCTGAAATTTGTTGATTGCCTTGAGTTATAAAAACTATAATAAAACTTCCGTCATTTCCGCTTGGCAAAGACATCGATTTCAAAAGCAGAACTTGCCCAAATGATGTTCATATTTCAATTTCCGGCTATCGAGTGGCACTGAGCTTCCAGCATTTATTGCAATCAGTGTGGCTGGCATTTAGCTTGACAGTTGACCAGATATTGCTGCAGCTGATGTTGTAAAGTTTTTGAAATTGTATTGCGCTTGGACTTGATTGATGCGGCGGAAGTTGGTTTTGTTTGTTTGTCGTCCCCTATGGCATGCAGCTTACTCATTTTACTTGATTTTTGCTATTTTTGATGATTTCGATTTGCATTTTGCTTGCGCACATATGAGCTCCCAAAAAAAAGGCAACATTAGGAATGCATTTGCACACACACACACACACACACACACACACAATTAATACTGATTGCATATTTCATATAAATGACTTAAACGACTAAAAATCTGCTAACAAATGCTTTCAAAAATTCGATTCAAATTCATAATAATAAAAAAATACAAATATACGCACAATAACAAAAACAAATTTGTTCTAAATACAACGCGAATTGAATTTGAAAAAATAATAACAACCCGTCGTCATAATCATGCCACAATCATTCCAACGCTCAACCAGAATGTCAATGTTCTTCTTTCGATTGCACAATCTTCAGCGCGCCGAGGAGAATAAGCGCAAGAAGCGCGTCGAGCAGCAGCGGCAACAGCAGCGGCAGAGACGCGGTGCCAAGGTCTTTAAATGTGTTAGTGACTCCACTGGTCATCTGACACTGGCACCCTCTAGACTCTTCGAGCGCACCCCCATGAGCCCGTCCGATAGCCTGGATGAGATTGCGCTGCAGATACCAAGGTGAGTTCCCATACTGTAATGCCAAGAGTCTTTCGCAAAAAGGCCAAAACTGGAGGTATCACAAACACAAAGAAATAATTGCGAAACTATAAATTGGATTTAATGATGCTAGTATTAATAGTCGAATACTTTGGACTTCGATGCTTACAATGGATTTAATTGAGAAGCATTTAAATACAATAAACTAAGTATCGCCATCATAAGTAGAACAGGCAAAATTTGCCATCAACCGAAATAACAATTAATAATATGAAAGGTCTGATGAACTTAAAGAATGCGAGGAAATTAAATAAATATTTACATACGCCATACTGTTGACTATATAATTCATCCATTGTTCAATTATTTTTCCATTCAATTGTTCTCTACCTTCAGTCTACAAGTACAAGCATCACGATTGTGTAAGAGTATATGTTTTGAAAGTCATTACATTTAAGGACAGCAAAAAGTTATGACACAATTTAAGGCTGTCCTTTACAAGGCACCCAAAATCCACATGTTTTAATAATAAAAACTAAAGGCTGCACTCTGCTTGTAGCTTGTATATACTATACCCTGCCCAACTAATTCACAGTCTTCTAAGTATTTCTATATTGTTAGCATAATTCAAGCCGTATAAGTGGTTATCCGATACTTCTTCCCACTTATGAAACTTACAGCTCTCTATTATATAACAAAATCATTCAAGAATAAATCAGCAGGATATGAAAATTTAATTAGGAATAAAAATGTAACTTTTTTGAACATTTTCTTTCAGATCAACTTAATACTTTTTCTGATTATTATGGGAAGGGTTAGTGTATTTTCGATTCATCAAAATTAAATATATCTTATATTGTTGAGAGACATTTTCAGTCTGCGTAACTGCATTTCTGAAGTTCGTGTTTCTTTCGTAGAATTTCACGAGTGCCTTTTCAAATCATGCCCTTTTAACGTGGCACTCCTTTGTGTGTGTACTTTGACAAAAACATACTATATTACATAGTATATACAAGTACTTCCATTTTCATACAAAAGCAGTCTGCCTTTTGAAATTATGTGGTTTGCCAAATGCAGAGTCAAAAACTTTGTCAAGTGAAAAAATAATTTGGTCCAAAATGCGATACATGCGGCAGCTACAGACTTAAGCAAAAATGTGAAATTTATTATTAAAACGGATTGTCAAAGCCGCTGGCTTAAGGCAGTTAATTCTTTTGTATAAAGGACCTAGAACCACAAGTCGCATAACTAGATGGTCAGTAAGATAACTAATAACTTTTAATTAACTGAAGTGGAGCTCGGGTTGTGTGCCACTTTTAGATCCCTTTTGGCGCAGCAAGCTTTGCTTTCTATTATTAGAAAGTACAAAATTTCAAAAGTATTATTTAGTATCATCCACAACAGTAACACGTTCGGTCCTTGAAAACGCTCGGCAAAATTACCAGGATTTGTTGCAAGTATTGCAGGCAGCTTGGCCGTAAAACAAACGGACTTTTGCAACCGTCAACATGAATATGATGTGTGAGCGAGTGTCGGCAGTTTTCGCTGGTATGGTTGTTGGTCTTTGGTATGCAAAGACATTTCCTGCAGACGATGCAAACAAGGATAAGGATAAAGGCGGCAAAGATAAGAATAACAAAGACAAGAAGAAGTAACTTTGAGGTGCAGTTAGATAATTAGCATTGGTTTATATAATTCCTTTACGGGGGTCGATCAATAAGTACCCGTGCAAGCAATACGCATGGAAGTTTTTCAAATTTCCCAATACTTCTGCCATATTTTGGACGCCCTGAAAAGGGATGATTTGTCCAATGCAATTTAACGAAATTGTTCTCATATCCAACCTCTGCCATTCGGCAGTTTAGTGTGGCTTACAGATTAAAACCACCTCCCCTTTTGGCACTTATGGATAGGCTTATAAGTAATATCCACAATCGCTTTAAATCATTTGGTTGCTTTTCCAGAGGCAACTTTAAAGAAAATTGCGGATTGATTATGTTCTTTTATTTTTTGAGGAACATAAAAGCTAAAAAGTCGGGCAAACAATTTCGTTTTTGGAACATGCTTACTTATTGACCGACCCTAGAATGTTTGTGAGGCTTCCTGAACTCTATTTTCCAAATATTTCGCACAGATACAAGCTGATGCTAAATACCTATGCGAAGTTGGCCGAGCGTTAAGTTTCCAGTAACATTGTCGTCTAAAATCATTCGAGCTCCAATATTCCAACCAAAATTACCTAGTGAAAAACAAAAATAGAAAAAAAATTAAAAGCGTAAGATGGCGTGCTGCAAGAGGCAGGAAGTGCGCAGGGTGTGCAGACCGCAGCCGTCGCTTTTCTCGCGCTTGAATTGCTTACCATGCAACCGAATGTTTTTCTTCATGGTCGGTGTTGGCATTGGTGTTTACTGGACCCGGATTAAGGAAAGAATCGCCGAGGAAACCAAAGAAGCTTCTAAGGCCGCCGAGAAGAACAAAAAGAAATAGGACTATTATGGACCCCCATATAGAACTGGCACAATCTAGCGTGAGGAGTGTATGAAGTCGGTGTTACGAAAAAATGAAGATGTTTGCTCTCAATGCTTCGTTTCGTATCGCCGTCTTGGATGCGCTGTTCGAGACACTGGCGTGTGCCAGACCCCGGCACTAAAGACTTCCAAACTTTACTTAATGCAGTGGTGCAACGATTTGCCCGAAACTCTGGCCTACTTCGGACAAATCTTGGCACTTTTGTTCACATCCTGACACAACGCAAATAAAGTAATCGATTGAATCTTCCAAAGAATATGTTTAATTTATTGCAACTGATGATGGTTTTATGAGCTAGGTTTTTCGTTAAACATTGGTGGATAGGACTTCTCAACTTTATTTCTTTTTGTCCTTGTTCTTGTTCTTATTCTTGCGCTTGCCTTTTTTGCCAGCTTCCTGTTTGGCTTCTTCAGCCAACTTCTCGGCTTCTCGTTGTACCTTGTCATAGTAAATGGCTATGCCGGCACCAACCAAAAAGAAAAAGAGTCGATTGCAGGGCACGCAGTTGACCCTAGAGAAGAGAGAGGGCTTGCAGACACAAAGCTGCGGCTTAGGCTCTGGCTCACATCCGCAACGGGAAGGTCCTTCATCGCACATGATGTCCACCTTGTTTCCCGAATGGCAAAGCTGTGGCGGAAAATTTTGTGAAAAACCGAGTTCAATTTAATTTTCTATTGTGTGGCCAAAGTATGAATACATAATAAAATGACTCTAAGGCCATTGCAAACCTGATAAAACAGAGTTCGAATGTACCGATTGAAAAATGTCTTTTCTCAGTTAACTAGCAGTAGGCCATCAGTCAGTCATTTCACATTTGTCTATTTTCATTTTGGAAAGAACTCTTACATGTACCGAAACTCTCTAAATTGAAGCGTAAGTGCAATAGAAAGCTTCCCACCCATACAATATTATGTTTACATAACTCTACATCAATTTTAGAAATCCATTTTTGCAATGCAGCGTCTTCTTACATTGGTAGTTGGCGGTATTATTGGGTACCTTATCGCCAAGAACGTACGTTAAGGAAATCACTATTTTTTCAGCGGTTTCACAAACGAAGCACGAAGCATGACTCACGTCATTTCATTTGCTTTAGGCGTTATTATCGGAATGTTAATGTGCCGTCGTTGCGGTGGGCCCTAAGAAGCAACTGGTAACTGAATCATGCTGAAAAACAACTCAAACTTTACCGCTATGGTCTACCTATATAGCTAATAAATCTGAATGCATTCAATCTAAAATTCAATCAACCACGTTTTTTGAATATCGATTAATAACGCAGTTGTGGAAACGCTTTCATCGCAAAATTTAAATTGATTGATTGGCTTGCCAACACATAATACTATTTCATTTCTGTCACACAGTTGACCCCTTAAGGGTGAAAATAAAACATTGATCTCAGTTAGCTATCATTTTGCCATCAGGCAACACAGATTTTGGAAATTTTTTAAAAATAACCCAGCACATGGCTTTTTTAAATCATCAGAAAATTTGAGTGGTAAGCGTAATTACAAATACATACATACATAATAAGAGCCAAATCCAACTGTCCATCGCCACTTTGTTCGTTCCACATGAGTTCGTTGGCGGAGTATACAAAACAACAATGATTACAATGAACTCTTGAAATATTACTCTTATTACTTAATTAATTGTTTGTACGTACATTTCAGGAAATCAAATTTAAAACAAATATGCAGCGTGTTCTCACCTTTTTGGTTGGCGGCATTATTGGTTTCCTTATCGCCAAAAATACCAGATAGAGTGAGAATCATTCATCTATTGGTTTCAATAATCTGGCACGCCACAAGAGGCACTATTCACGGAGTTACTTTCAAATAAATTTGGAAAGCAAATATGACTCATGTCATATCATTTGCCTTGGGCATTCTGATCGGAATGTTAATGTGTCGGCGGTGCAATCCTTAGCTCTGGCTGGCATTTGACAAAATAGATTCAATAATAGCGCCCTCAAAATCAATTGTATTATAATAAACTTAACAGAAAATATACATATATGCATATAACAAAAATATTAGTTGAACATAAATTTTGTCTTTGTTTTGCAATATTTACAACATCATAATATCTGTCCCTACATTATTTCTATTTGTATTTAACATATATATTTGTGTGTGAATAAATATATCTGAACACTCGCCATGTGGGAGATAAAATAGGGAAAAATAAAACGACAGACAAAATCTAAAAAGATCTTTCCATTTATCTTTACAGGTAAATATCCCTATTCGAAGTTAATATACACAGCGTTCTAAGCAATCACTCAGTCTTAGATTGAAAGAAGTATTTCTAAAATATTCCAAATGGTATGGTATGCATAATAAATATTTCCGATTTATAACATAATTCCGATGCGTTTTCTTAGAAAGTAAGAATTCTTTTGTGCAGTAATTTAAATTGATTTTTATCATCGAATGTTATACTTATGTGCAATGTGCACCCAATTCAATTCAATTTTTTTTTTTTTTTTTTGTTGCTAATTTTTAAGTTTTAACTTAACTGTCCAGGTGGTGTCTATATTGCTGCCAACCGAAGTTTATGTGCACAAAAGTTTCAAAGTTAGTATTGTTTGCACAAGCCGCTGCTCCATCTCCATATTTATGATGCGGGTCGTGTGCGGTGATAGACCGGAATGTCGGTTGGGGTTTGAATCGATGTAGAGCACTTAAAGTGTTCAGCCAAAAACAGAATGTGTATCAACTTTTAAGGATACGTTTCGGCGATTGTGCCTAATGTGATTGTGTGAAATTGGAGGCTGACTAAAACAGTTTGCCCTTTTCCCAAACCTCAAGCATAATTACTGCTCAAGTTGGCATATTCGCCAAAGGCACATGCCTTCGTACTTATGAAGTAGTTTGGCAGGATGTTTTATGTAAATGAAATTATTGTAAACCCGATTTGTTTTGCACAGAAACTTTCGAAATATGTGTTGTAGTCCCTTACATACATACATATATGTATGTGCAGTACAAATAAACCTAACTTATCTGTCTGAAAGTAAACCTTTCATTATGATTGATTATCGATGAAATATGTAGAAACTGATAAGAAACCACACCCGCTTAACAAATGAGCAGAACAAAAGAAATGAAGTCGGTTTTTGTTTCCGTGTTCAAAGAACTTTTTGGCATTTCAGTCAGTCAAGGCTAGCTAGATAGATAGCTAAACACACGCTCACACATACACACACACACACACACACACATAGGTATAGCATTGGGTCAGGATTTGTTGCCCACACTAGCATTAATATTTCATGAATTCAACTGGATCTTGGATGCGACTATGCATATCTAAAAAGCCCATGGCATTAGTGCAGGGTCTGTGTTTATTCTAAGCGCATACAAACAAAGAAAAACAAACCGAACCAAACCAAAACCAAACCGAACCGTGCCACAGTTTTCAAGCGAAAGGTTAAATGTTCATCAGATTGACTGCGCCATGAATTGATAAGCGCTGTGCCGCCTGATGAGAAGGGCAGGCAGCCATCGTTGCCTGCCATCCTAAATGATAGATGGCCACATCATCAGTGGGAAAGGTTAAATGTTTGGTCCTTCATTTTAGCGCCAATACAAGTTTATAGACTCAGCTCCTTCTGCAGCAGCTTCTGCTTACGGGTCAACAGGTATACGGCCTTGAAATGCGCCGGCCACAGAATGAGTTCATCATGATTTAATCCGCTGACTGCCACTTGACCCAAGCCTGATATAAAATATTACGGGCTGACACCGAAATTGATGGCGCGTCCTTCATCAACATCGATTGCCGCGACGCAGAGGCACAGGTGACAAGCTTTGACAACGGTGTGTCTACGGATTGAACACATTCAGTTCAGCAGCGAATTGTGAGAATCAATAAAAGTTTTAATTAAATTTAGCGGCATGTTCTTCATAACAAAAGTGTCGAACTAATTTGCTTATTGTCAAATGAAATGGTTTTAATTTGACTTTTTGCGTCAACGCGTAGCTTAGCTTAGCTGACATGCAAAATTAGGATCTTATCCATTCAAATTCCGGTTGGTAAAGGAGCGTAAAACGGAAAGCGCACAATACACAAGCTTTTTAACAGACATTCTTCTCTTCCTCTGTTAGGTGTTTCTCTTAAGAGCCAAGCTTTTGCGAAGCTCTCTCTTGGCAAAAATGTAAACAAGGTTGCATCCTTGTATAACAGTCACTGTTTCGGCCGGCAAGTGCAGCTGACAGCTGTTTGCTCACCAAAAAACTCACCACACTATGTTGGGTTGCAGTGCCCGCCATGGTGCGTTCCGAGCCTGCGCCGCATACTGGTTCAGTCGTTATCCTAGTGCCGACGCGAGTGAAAGCAATCGCAAGCCTTACACGGCAATCGGCAGCAAGCGCGTGAACAATTTATTTAACAGTTCCAGCACCTGTGCATAATTAAAGATAGAAACATTTTCCCTAACCATAATTTTTAATTTTTGGTTGTGCATATGCGAGTACTATCTGGTTGTGTGGAAATCTTCGCGTGATTTTAAAGTTCAACTCCAAACTTAAGAGTAGTTTTCAGAAAAAAGCCAAACCTCTTTTTTGAAATTTATGTTGTCTAAATCAGTTATTTAGGTAAACGATTTGAATATAAAGATTATATTTGAGTGTCATGGAAAGCGTGCAGTGGTAATCGGTGAAATGCATTAAAATACTATTTGTAAAAAAAATAGTACTAAAATATATACTACTTGTATATTTATAAAGACATACTTATAAAAGAAATTAAATATTAGCCATTTAATTGACTATTTTTTACGAAAAAATAATAATAATGATACAAGTATATTCATATAAAATGTAACCAGCACTTGCAATAGAGAAATATTTGAACGCTGTTGGCGATCGACTAAAATAAGTCCATATACTGCATATAATCATATTTTTATGAAGCAGATAAAAAAGATTTTTTGTTTTTGTTAATTTTGCAGACAAATGACATCAATTTTTGGATAACACAATAGTTTTTCCTCTAAGCCCAGAAAATAAGGCGGAGGTACTGTAAATAATTTCTGAGGAATTGTTCTATGTATGTTTTTTGAATAATGTCTGCTGACAGAAAGTTTGCAACTTGTCTTCATCATTTAACTTAAATATGTAGCGAGGACTTAAAATACGTGCCCGCAAGTGCCACTAAGCCAAGTGATGTGTCTGTTAGTAATTGGCTTTAATGTTAAAGCCTCAAAAAGTTAAAGATAAACTTGTTTTATTCAGTCGTCTGCAGATCATTGATTAGCTTGAAATGAAATTGATTTAAGGACGAAAGCTCGCTGAACAATTAAGCCGCATCATAATTGAATTCGATTGCAGTAAATATGAGACGTGGAATAAAACGACAAAGTGAAAAGATTGGCGCCCATTTTGGCCATCTTTCTGTTTTTGGTCGCAAGCAAAGACAGCTAGCTCAGTGTGCCTTGTAATTGAGTTATTTCTTTTAGATTGCGCCATTTTATTATTATTAAATGGCTGCTGCGAGAACAAGCTGTTAATGGCTCGCCATTAAAATGGCGTTGGTGACATGAAAAAATATAGAGAGTATTTCTTTTTGTGAGTGTGTATTTGTGCGGCTTGTGTGTGTGTGTGTGTGTGTGTGTGTGGTTGTGTCTGTGTGTCTAACCGCCGCAATGATTGTTTTAATGGCTACTTGAACGGAAATTAACTGACAAGGGCAGATAAATAAATACAAGAGGCCGTGGGTGGCACTTTGGCAGCGATTTTTGTTTTTGACTTGACAGCTTGCCATTTCTGGCACTTGTGCGAACGTCAAGGACATGAATACACACACTCTCACACACTTAGACAATTCACATCCGTGCCTGCATTGTGAAGCTTGTCCTACAGTAAGGAAAACAGAGATACTCATACGTACTTACTTATATACACATGTACATGTACGTGTATATAGAGAACATACCATTCCATCTTTAAATGCAAGCAGTCGAGCACAAAATCCGCTGACAATGTGAGCAATATTCAGTGTCTAGCATTGCCCCCAATCCGCCTTATTTGTATTTACACATTGAAATGTCGAAATAAGCTAATTTGGCGCATAATTTAAAATGCACACACACACAGACACATGAATGAGTGTACAAGTGTGTGTATGAAAATTTGTCAGCAGAGAAATAAAGTTAAATTTTGCATTTGTTCATTTGGGAAAGCTTCAGGACTTATTTTCGCAGCACATGCAAATTGCTTTTTGGTTTACGAACCTAACGACTACACATACATAAAATTATGATGAGTACCACACACTAAGTATACTATACATATGTGCATGTGTTATTTATTTATTTGCGCATAAACTTTATGGCACTTGAAGCGTAAACAAGAGTTATTGCATTGAACGGGGATTTATTTTGATCGGTATATCCGAGAAATGTTTTGAAGCGATTTGAAAGGGAAAAGCACAAATTGTCAATTGCAATGTTAATCTGAGGGGGCCAACTGTATTCACATACTCGTATTTAACATTCGGTGCAAAAATCATTCTATTTTGTTAATTATTATATTAGAAACCCTTTTTGGTATTTACTAGTTATACTCTGTACATAAAATGTACAAGAGTATATTACGTTTGCGGGAGCTGAAAATGTAACAGGCAGAAGGAGGCGTGGCAGACCCCACAAAGTATAAATATTCTTGATCAGAATGACGAGACGAGTCGATCTAGCCCTGTCTGTCTGTCTGTCTGTCTGTCTCTCCGTCCGTCCGTATGAACACCTGGATCTCCGAGACTATAAGAGCTAGAGACACCAAACTTTGCACAAAGATGCGTTATATGTGTATGCTGTGCAAGTTTGTTTTATTTTTTTGATTCCCCCCCCCCCCCCCCCCCCCACCTTCCCCCTTATGGGGGTTTTCCCGATTTTCCATTCGTTTAATCGCCTATATCTCGGAGACTATAAAACCTCCGGACACCAAATTTTAGTCTCAGATGCCTTATGTGAATACGCAGAAAATGTGCATTTTGGAATTTCCCTCCCACCCCCCTCTCCCATGCAAATCGCGATTTTCTCTAACT